ACAAGCAGCTAAGGGATATTACTCAGGTTAGGATTAAAGGATGATACCTATAAAGATAGGAGATGCGCTCGAACAGATACCAATGGTGTAAAATAAGGTGCTCAGAAGGGTTCTTCGAATCGTTCATTCAGTTACAGGTGTATGTATATTTTTATACGACGCTGTCTCCTTTCAAAACTTTTCACTAAGCGGTTGTTATCATTTCGCGTGATGTCAGATGCTATTATTATCACTGCGGATCCGTACTGTTCTAAATCCAATTCATCGCTTTAATCACCTCGTTAGAACTCAGTCCCTACAAGTATGCGGGTTGTCGCAAGGTAGCTTTTTCTGGTGCATTCTCCGATCCTGCTTCTCAGTGCCAATGGACCCCTCCAGAAAGTCGTCCGGGATTCATGTGTTTCAGCTTCTCCGTAATCATGTAAACTGCTCTAACCTCTCGCTGACTCCATATTGCGCTTCTAACTTTAAGAACAACTTTTCCCATCCACTCCAGCCCTTGTGGCGTGCTTTCATCCTCTCTCTGTCTCTCTATTTCTCGCCTTCTTTTTGTCTAGGCTTCTCAGTACCTACTTTTTCCTCATCTTCCATACTCCTGAAGACTCACTTCCCGTCACTAATGGACCTCTTTACACTTCATATGCGTTGCTGATACCAGGTTTTCTTGCCACTGTCAGCCCTCCTTTTCAACCATATCTATGTCAGAAAGATTATTTCCTAGTGACCTCTTCTGTTTAGGCATGATTTACCAACACGATTAATAGCAGCGCCACTTCTAACTTGCCTCCTCCTAGGTTCTATGGCTCCTTCAGTGTAAGGTATATTCACTTGTGGGCAACATGGCTCCCTTCTTATTTCTCCGGCGCTCGGCTTTTGGAAGCCGGATATGAACACCTCGCTGTCGAACCCTGGATTGCGATATATCAGTGTCGGCTGTCCTTAGCATTCCGTCCAAAAACAGCATTGATTACCATTTTTGTCGTTAGGACTTGCAGTAGTGCCAACCCAGTATGTTCTGCGTTTTGTCATTTTGTCTACAGATTTTGGATACCACTGGTAGTTTTGGGAAATGGTTACATTGCGTCCGTTAACCACGGACTATCGGCCGTTGTAATGAAAATCAACCACACTGATGGTCATGTGTACTGGTTACTTCACATCAGTTAGCACTGTGGGTGGATGAGCACACGGTCCTTAACATTGGCCTGCATTCAAATCCAATGTATGCATTGCTACAAAGGGTCCTTCAACTTCATATCCCTTCTATGTCTACCACGTATGTGTCCTTGTCATTTTTTCGTCAAGTTACAGCACCGAATAAATTCACTGTAAATCTTTAATTTTAATCACTATAAAATCTCAATCTCTTGTGCAACCCAAATACTCCTGATTTGCTCGGGTAATTCACAATTAAATTCTGCTCGGAAAGATGCATTCAGTCATGAGATCTCACCTATGTGAGCTACCCTTCAGTTGAGCTAATTTAATGGGAGGGTCTTGCTCACTTCTACGCTACTGCGCCGGCTCTGATTAGTTTCGAAGTTAAAGTGTTGACCGATGAGATGTGACCTCCACTTGTCTAATCCTGTGACGATTGACAAATATTTCTTTTTCAGGCGTTGAATGCTTCTTTCTGTAGGCCTCAAAACATGGCCGACATACTAGACCACTCCTTTGGTCTGTCGTGGAACGATACATAGGCCCCAAGAATCGGAATCGGTGAAGGTTACGAATAGGTTTCGTTATCTTAAAGCAATCTACTGGCCATTTAAGAACTCTTTTAAGAAACCAAGCATTCTCTTCGTCATATTCTTAATTGCCTAGCGGCTGGTGCAGCGAATCTGCTATCTCACTGGAGCTATTCTTCAAAACTACCACACATTTTGAGCCCATCACTGAGTTCTTAGATAACTACGTCACTAACTGTCCCAGGGCAAAAGGTGCTCCCGCGTACCTGAAAAGCAATGGCTTAACATACATCTTTTCCACCCCACAAGGACCGCTGTTTTCTCTCTATCGTCGGCTTTCTTCTGTAGTTGCCAGTGGCCTTATCACAGATCAAACACTGCGAAGCTTGTGGCTTATTATGTGTTTTCTTGTTTGTTAGTCATGTTCCGTTTCGAAGATAATCTCATCTAGGTGAAGTTGTTAGGCCCACTTGGATCCAAACATGTTACCATAATTTTCATGTGACTGCCTCACAGTCGAGCTACACGGGTGTTTAACTTCCATATTTGTGTCTTTTAACAACATCTGTTGAACCAGTTTTGATGCCTCTTTCGGAGAGTAAAGAGGGTCTAAATAGGGTGGAAAGTCCTGCCTATGGTCACCTCGTGAGCGGCATTTCACGAGGCATCCTGCCACAATGCCCATTTGCTTCTACGTCTAGTGTGGATGAGTGTTGAGTGTGTTTTGATTTCGTTCTTATGATGATGTGTTCAAAAACATTGAGCGCTCATCTTGTTTGACTCCATTCAATTTGCTTGCACAGCCATGTTTAACCTGTTGTTTCGGTTGGCGTCACAGCTGCATTTCGTTTTGGATAGAGACTGCAGTAGCCGTTAAAATTGAAGGTTTTGTAATTAAGTTTTGGACACATATTTTGTTGTAAAGAACAATTTTCGCAAAGTTCACTTACTGTCTGAATATACATTCGTTTTTGGCAACAAATTGTTTTGGATTTGGTCGGTTTTACTTTGGGATTTGGGAACTCCAAAAATTCGTATCTTCGTTACGTGCTACTCAGCGGATCGGACGTAACACGAGTTCGTCAATTTGTCTCTGTTTATTTGGCCGGAAATTTTGCTCACTGTCCTCTGGGAACAAGTTTCAGTATTTGGAATATTCTGCTCCTTCCAATACGTCTTCGGATAGCGGAAAATGATCTGCTAAACAAGTTCATAATGCTTGATCTAGACACTGGAGGAAAACCCCACCTATGGGCAGTAATTCGGAATTTCCTAATACTATGCCTGATGATGAGGAAGATCCCTGCCAGCATTTACTTTAGGCGCACTTCGGAACATTGGGGCATTCCCCTAAATTTCACAAATATTTCACTCGGCCGCTGCCATTTCGTTGGCTTCTGTACCAATAACACATGTAGCATATAGATGTCAAATAGCCATATAACGTAATATGCCTTCTCATAACTTGGGATATGGGTTAGTACAAATCTTTGTGCATGCTATCGATAATTTGGGTACTTTGGGCGCATTGCATACACTTCGGATGTTTTGGGTGGGTTAAATAAAAGTACAAAGTTTCGGGTTAGCTGCAGACACTTTGGGTAATGCCCGAAGTTTTGCAGTGGCCTCGAAACTGTTGCGCGTCTGTTTCAGTATACCAAAATTGGTGATTGCGAGCGGAAACCCTGTTCAAAATATTATGAACCGTGTTGGTGAGTAGCGGTTTTTTGTCGGGCAGTTGCGTTTTCTGCGCCCAAGAAATGCTGCTGTTTATTTCCTTTTACTCACTTAATTCATTATTAGTGTTTCCATATAGTGTGCATGAAATCTTTATGGAAATCAGTGAAGCTTCCCATAAAATTATATAATTCCTTCGCTGTCCTCCATTTTCAGTTGAAATGACATGTCTGATACCTCATGCTGATATTGCAGCACCTGTCACAACTGGATTTGAGGGACGTAACTCCTCATTAAGCACCGCAACAAAAGGTGGTAACATTCTCTTTGTCTTCTTCTCGAAATACGCGGAGAGCAGCCGGCTACCCGGCTCGCCAGAGAGCGTCAACGAGGTGCAAAAAATAGCAGAAGGGTATGATATACCTGTCACTGGTAAAATAAAAATTTATTTCCACACTTACATCTTGTACATGCCTTTCGGTGAGCGTAAAGCGTGTCCTCAAACTTCGAGCGGGCTTTGCGACTTTTGGCACTATCAAGGGAAAGGTTTGGAACATTCGGGGGACACTGTGCGTCACCCGATATGCGCCCGAAGTAGAATTTTCGGGTTTTAGCCCAAAAGTTACAAAGTGTGCCCGAACTAAATCCCGGCTGGGATAAAGTGAGTGTTGATGCTGTTAGTGCGCATGGTTCATGTGGTGTGCCTAGTTCTATTAATTACCAAACACCTAAATCTTTGTCGAAGGAGGAGGGCTTGGAAAAGGAGTCACGATCAAGCGCTGCATTATCTGATGATGCAGTAGGGGTTGAGGACAAGACAGGCAGTCATTCTAGGTCTAAGAATGCTATGGGATTACTCGAACCCAGTGATATGCAATATAGGTTTGCATCAGATTTGAGGGTGTTTGGCTCCGATGGTGAAAAACGTCTCTTAACTTTGATGGACAGCCCGGTCGGTACCAGTTGTTCATTAGTCAGTTTAGAAATGCGACAGAAGCTAACCTTACTGATAAAGGCCAGATGTTGTCCTATCTCTTACAGTTTTGCAAAGGGAAGGCAAGGACAGCGATAGAAGCATGTATTTCACTGCCTGCTCACCTGGGATGTGATAGAGCTAGAGAAGTCCTTTGTGATTTGTTTGGACAGGAGCATACGATTACTCGATCACTTATTTACGACTTAGAAACAGATAGCCGGTGGAGGATACTGTTGAGACTATGGGTGAATGGGAAGGGACCCGAATTTGAGGACTTGGTTTGCCTTGTGAAACCTGGGAGCACTGGACAGATGTTTCGTCCTAGTATGGGACTCCTCAGCAGTGCGCATCCACGACCCCGCCATGTCGATAAGTTATTATTCATGAATAGACTCATTTTTCATATTTTCATACAATAAACAACGAATTACACATACATTTTCCATAACGTTTACACACACACACACACACACACAAACACTTTGATTATTGAATTATTTTGATGACAAGTTACAAAGACTGCACGAATTTACAATGACTAGTCAGAAATAATCAGTCTGAACAACAAGTCAGATAACCAATGGCGTAAAGACAGAAACACCTAGACGTACCATTTGACATTATATATTTTGACTCGGTGCTTAACTTCTTCCAGGACACTCGTAACAACTATGACCTAGATGTTTATAATCATACATATTTTGACAGAATAGGTATGTTTAGTAGTTCGATTAATCGAATTTCACCATACTTAAATAGGTCATTCAAACCGCGATCAAAAAATTGGATGTTTGTAGACATTTCTTAGCAGATATAAGCACGATTGCACGTGTATGCATGTGCTAAGTGGTGTTTCAGTCATGTTTGTGCATAAATAATTTGTGATAACTTTAATAAGATGATGTTGAGCTAAATAACTGATTTCTGAATGGTCAGTGAAGAGTTGAGTGTATCAAATAAAATTTGTTCGCACAGACGACATGAATAAATTGTCGAGGTTCACATTTAGTTATACTCATATTGCAATCGCCACAAACAACAGTTAACTATGCAGTACACCATGTGCTTTCTGACCTGCTTTATAATACTTATCTATTCATCAGTATGTGTGAATGCGAATAAGTTAAGTAAAATCAGCTTGAATCGAGATGGACTATTCACTGATTCTCGAGGATTTACAAAGTTATTTCGAGGCTTCAATTCCATCAGTAAAAGTTTTCCATGGTACAAGATACAGGCATTGAATAGAACACAAATGAGAATGTTTAAAGATTGGGGTATCAACGTAATTCGACTACAAGTAATGTGGAGTGGATTATTTCCAGCTCGATCAGTAATCAATTCTACATACTTGGATCAAATCGAGAAGATAATCAAGTTGTCTGGTGAACATGGAATTTACTTAATATTAGACATGCATCAAGATGTGTTATCATCTCGTTATGGCACATATGATGGTATTCCATTATGGCTAATTGATCAGTTCAAAAGACCACCAGCTTCCCTACAGTATCCTTGGCCATACAAGAGTCCTCCGGATTGTAAAATGTGTAATTATTTGACTTACGAATGTGCCAGTGCAGCGCAACAGTTATATGACAATGTATCGAGTTCCTGGAATCACTGGGGTGATTTCTGGGAGATAATAGCGAGACGATTCAAAGAGTTTTCAAATGTGCTCGGTTATGAGCTAATTAATGAGCCTCCACCGGGTAATTACTATGCCAATCCACTGTATGGTCTATCAGGTAAGCATAATACGAATTTATGAATTCAGCTTTGAGTCGATTTGCATACACTTTCGTATTCGAAGCATACTGACCACTGACTTGACTGTATGTGCAAGAAGTCGGCTGAACACCTTACTGCGCCACCGAAACATTTGACATGAGAAGACCAGTTGTGTATTTTCTTCAACTGACATGCCAGATTTTCGTCATTCACATCAGTTAATTAGCACAATGTCTGACGTGATCTCGTTGAGGCTCTACTACCCTCAGTTTAATGCCAAGACGAGTGTTGAATATTCCCAGAATGGAATGAGTCGGTTATAAATTATTTCCTGAATTTCCATGATCGTTTGATGCTGCCATTCTGAGGTGTGATGCACTTTCAAATGTAAGCATTTTACCGAAGTGACGAATTTCGCTCAACAGCGTACTCATATGTTGTTCATGTTCATGTTCATCAACTATGTTTGAAATGACAATTAGTGTATCTTTACAGCATGATTCAATCTAGACTTTCTCACTGACAATCCTAAGCTCATACACTGAACGCAACCATTATATGTTTGCAACTGATCCACTCCAAGAATTTAAATGAGGCGAAGAAAATCGTCTTGATAACACCAACACAACGAATTCACTCAATCTGGTCGGTTTCATTTTACCTACAGATAATCAAATGTGGATAATTTGACAAGAATAAATATGACATGAACTGTTGCAGCGGTGATGAGTAAAAGCTGGGCGACAATGCAGCAGTGTAGTGTGAAGTGTTGATTGGGAAAATGACAAAGGAGTGATGGGAAAGAGGAGGTTGACATAGTGTGAAACGGATAGGTTGCAACCTTTTGACTGAGATGAGATGCACAAATCACAGTCGAACCAAAGTGATCTGTATATCGATCATTTTGAATGGAGAGACTGGCAAACTGACAAATGTCTATTTTGTGTGTTCCATGTCTGACAGGTTGTATGTAATTCACTTACCTGTTGACAGTGACTTCATGTCATACGATGTATTCTCAGGCAAATCAATGATGAGATTTTCTCGCCAGATCATCATGATATTCTGTAGTGAGATGTTCACTTCTCAGATTTGAAATATGCGAGTAATTAATGTTATTGCTTGTAGTTTCCAGTCGTTGACTGGGTCGAATTGACCAATCTCTGTTGGCATATGGACTCGTTTGTGTATGCCTCTACTTTCATTTTGGTAGTAATGATGGATAATGGCCAGTAGTGGTATCCGGGAGATGAGTTTCATCCTATTTATATTCGAGACTTCGTGGTAACATCATCCCTCACTGAGAGGTAGGTGAATCTATCTGTTGAGTGCGAAATGGTAGGAAATGCGTGTGGTGGATTCCAGTGTAGCCACTATCCATCATCTTTGTGCGAGTATTTGTCGATAGATTTTTTCGAGTCAGTATGTCTGTATTTATTAGTAGATGGTTCAGTTGTACAACGAATATTGTGTGTTCTGCTAAAGTTAACTATTGTGCTTTTTATGAGGTAACTAAGAAAAGCATGTCAACAGAATACAATGTGTATTCATGCCGATAGCATGAAAGTTATTGCGAATTAGTTACGTGAAATCCGAAGTGTCGTGCTTCTTTGTGTTCAATACACACAGTTATGATCATCCTGTTTAAATGAAAGGACTTTCTCTAACCTCATCGAAATATGTTCTTATTGTCGATAAATGTGGATTATTTGGAGAAGCATATTGGTTGAAGTACATTCTCGATAGTAGCCACATAACTGTGAGTTCTCATGAGAAACACACCACCGGCACAATCAGGCAATAAACAACCTGGGAAAATTATGTCCTATACTTAACATGGCATAAATCCCATGTCCCGTCACTTGACTCAGTTTGAACAGGTTAGAAGTTAAGTAGTTTTGTTGTTTTTCGCCTCAAACAACGTCAATCATTTAAGTTTCAACTCGGTTGACTGATGTTATAATGTCTAGTTATATGTGGGTGAGTGAAGATCAGCGTGAATCCACCTGGTTCGCACTTCTCAAAAGCATTGGTGGCTATGCCGAGGTTAACATGATCTTACTTCCTGCTTGAAATTTCTGATGGACAGCCTCTTGTTAATGCAGATTTAGTTGTTAACAGCTTGCAATTCAAACCTCTATTATTTATTCATTTGTTTACTACGGGTGAAAGAGAGTCAGCTATATCTTGCTTTACAAGTGCACATCAATAGACTTTTGTAGTAAGTCGACAGTGTTTTCAACACTCTACACTTCAGTTTCCAGAGCAGATTCATGATGGACAACAAAAGTTTATAGTGTGAACTTCTATGTTGGCGTTTGGTTCTGAAACGATTTGAGTTAAATGTGAAAGGTGCGGTATGTTACATTTTTCAGATTGTGGGTGTATATATTCTACTGCAGTTATTCCTAGTAGGGATTTATGTTTCTGTATCTAGAAGCAATAAAACATCCCAACGGTATCCTTATCGTTCATCTACAACTGAGATGAAACACAGAGGAGATAATGTGAAGTGGAAGGTGGATTTGATATTTCTCTTCCTATTCAGCTTATCCTTGGTCAGTCTCAGTCGTTTATTTTAGATTTCATGGAAATTCATTATTTTCTTCACACTCATACTCGGATAAGAGGTTTCCAGAACTGTGTCTATGACCCACTGGTACTCAATTTGTCAAGAACATTATTCAGCTTTGCGTACCCCACAAGCCTGTAAAAAGGCGAAATAATTTAGCTGACGACGAATCGGTTAAGACACAGAACAGGGAAGCTTACTTGATTTTCACAATCAAATTACGTTTGCCTGTGATTATATTAGATGTGATTCGCCTCTCATATTCTGCCGACTGCCCATCTTTTTCTCATGTTGACGTGTCAGCCTAATGCAGTAAATATTTTAGTGTTATTTCCTATTGGAAAGCAACATTTTCTAAACAAATATTTACTTTGAAGGCGGTATTCATGATGGAGTGACACCATTTGGAGGATCATGGAAAACCTGGAAGTAGCCAGTCTGTGATGAATACTACCTCTAAACTAAAATCCTTATTAACCTCAAAATATTTACTTGACGTTTGATACATGTTTAATTTGTTCTCCAACCTGTTCACTTGTATTTATTTTGTAGTTTCTAACTGGGAATTTAATTTCAGATTGTCAGATACACTGAATAGAACTTTAGCATTGTTTTGAAAGCTAGTGGTTGAATGCTTCCATTGTCACACAAGTTTTGGCACTGGAAATTGTCCTTGTTTGTCCCACAACTTGCTAACACACCATTTTTTCATTTAGTGATTCACTTGTTAGTTACGAGAGTTAAACTCGTATTGAAGAAAGTAAAGCACGTGGTAGATTTGAGAGAAATCTTCTCAACAACTAGAAATATTTGAGTGACTTGATGGTTGAAATTGATTGCGGAACGAGTTTATGATGCACAGTGAGAAACTGCTTCTTAATAGATAAGAATTATTATTTAGTGTTGCCTAACATTCAGCTTTTATTCACCTGTAAATAGTGAAATATTTTATTTACGAATAAAATATCTTTCGATTATTCTTTCAAAATTTTGCTGCTTTCTTTGCTACAAAACCTTTCCATATTATTTCCAGGTTATTCTGGTCGATATAATCTACAACCGGTTTATGATTACCTTGTTGGACGAATACGTGAACACGATAATGATAAACTGATATTTTATGAGCCTGTCACATATGGAATATTCCTTCCTTTCAATGCAGGGTGGCTAGGTACAGGATTTCAGCGTGTACCTGGAGCGAATGACGACAAATCAGCTCCAAATAAAAGCGTACTTGCTTATCATTATTACTGTTGGGTTCTACAGACAGACGGTCGAAAAGCGGATATGCCACTTTGGAAGAGGTTGTTGTGTGATGAGGTGAAACATTTTTTTCTAACATTGCATGTCCATTTAAACAAGGCACACTGAAACAGTTTACTCAATAAGTGTTTTGAACTAGCTTTACAAGGAGAAATGAGATAAGGACGACTGTCACCCATCTAACTTTGGATAGGGAAAAATTCCCAATTGTCTAGTGTAGATTATTATTCGTGAAATAATGTGAAAACAAGAGGGTATAGGATGGTTGCTTGGTCCTCATTTCACAGTTCATATTGGTGCGAGAATTCGCTAATGCATGGGATCCAACGTATAACTTCCAAGTTCAACTACCGGTACCATAGCATTCAGCTGGTGTCAATCACGTTAATCAATTACTCATAAGGACTTAACTAAGTAATTACTTTGTCGAAATGATATTAGATTAGTGTTTGTCTATATGAATGCAAGAAATACAATGTTCAAGTGTAACATATCCTTCAAGAAATAGGGACGTTTTTGGATCGATTACTTCGTATTGAAAGGTGTCATATCATTCTGATAGAAGAATTCTTCATCCTGACATCATTAAGAACAGAACTATATAGAGACCATATATGAATAACTGTTACCGAAACGTTCTATAAAGATAATGATTGTAGAACTCCAGTGCCTCACTCATACTTAGTTATTTCTCTGTGTAAATGTGAATGTCACTGTTGAATTTTATGAAAGTACAGAAGAAATTTATTTGGTATGTAACTGGTTCGAACCATGTTTCTCTGTATTAAAATACTATCCCGTGATTTTTATCTATTTTTAAATCATTCCCTCTACTCTTACATGTTGACCTTTTCCTATTGGCTGTCATCGATGTAAATAAGTTCCTGATCAATCCCTTTCCTATGGACTGCGTATGTATATATTGGAACAATACTATCTGGTTTTGAATCGCTTTGATAAAGTAGCCAACTATTACATCCAGTGTATGTTTCCTTCAGTATCTAGAGCTGGGAGAAGTTGGATAGGAAGTACTCCAATGTTAATTATCTGATAATTAGTGTCCTTACATTATCGACTAACTGATATATCAGCCGATTAGTGTATACCCTTGAACAAACGCATAAAACTGTCAGTCACGTCAGTGAATATGTTTAGTGGATAACTAGTGCAGTCTCAGAGGCTCCACTGTTTTCATCGATACTTTCTTATCAATAACTGCCCAGTATGCACAAGCTTCGTTAGGTCCCTTTTTGATTCATCTCCTAGTTTATCCACTCCTGTGACCTTGAGACTCAGATGGGAGTTTCAACTAACCAGTTAAATAATTTAATACGTTAGCTGTGAAACTTGAAGGTCCTAGGTTCCATCGCTGGCTGGGTCATGGGTGAGTAGTGCTCAGGGTTCCCATACTATGACGAAACAGCTACCGAGTGCTCCCAGGTTTTCAATGGTTCTCCAAATAATGTCAATCCGTGATGATATCTACCTAAACAAAATAATTGAACGATTACACTATTTAGTGGTCGTAGAAGCATTTGTGGTAAATCTTAATGGTTTTTGATTCCAGTTAGTGCCCTTCAAATGTTGATTCTTAGTCAGTCGACGTTTACTAGTCGGTGACTATTGAACTACTTGATAGTCGCTTTCATATCACCAGTTCAAACCTAAGTTGAATATTTTCAATGAAGAAAGCATTCATTCAACATGTGAGTGTATTTATGCTTTGAAAAGTACTTCTCTTCATTTACTCTTTAAGTTGGTCAAAAATGACGATGATAAAACATTTTGTGAAAGAAAAACAAATATCTATCAGCATACATTTGATTGCAGAATTAGGCATTGACTATTGTCTTAAAAAGTATAGTGAAAAGTCAAATTATATGTACCAGTTGTGCGGAAATAAATGAAAGCTGAGCAGTCGATTTCACTGAATTACTACGAAAAATGCAATAATGTAGAGAATAATATTAATTGTTGCCTACCTTAACACAGTTTATCTTTTTTATATATTGAGTTTCCACTGATTCTACAAAAAATATCATAATAAGTACTATTTAGACAACATTACCTTTCGGGCAGATGTTTTGCAATACCTTAGAATCACTCTGATGCCTACACTGTGTGCACAAACAGTGAGTCAGAACATTCTAAGAACCTAATCATCTGTGTTCGAATCTTAGCAAGACAAACCAAGGCAACCAAGTCAGAATATGACATCAGTTGATGAAGTTACTTAGAAACTATAATGTCACAGGCTAAGACACACTGGGTTGCACAAATTAAAATATGTGCCTCCTAACCAGACGAATGAAATCGAATTCATAAGCAGTGAAAGTAATCCTAATATATTCTCTTTCATCTAATATGTATTTCATCGATTTCATCACCTTGTTACAAAGGATACAACTGCAGCCTTACATTTATTAGTAGTGATTTATTGCCGACTTGATAATCTTCATGTCATGCTTGGTAGCCTGTTTGTCACTTGAAGGTCAGATTATGGTTATTCTACTTTGACAATGTTCTTCAGATAAGTGACTGTCTTATTTCATCACGATTCTGGTCGCAGAGTTGGGGTACACAGTTGGCGGATGGGAAGTTCCATCGTTTGGTATTTACTCACTTGGTTAATAGGATGACTATTCAGTCTGTCACAGTGATTCAACCTTATAAATTCAAAATGTGTTCAGTTCTGCCATCTAGTCTAGTGTTTAGTTAACTAAACATCATCAGTACAACATTTATCACAATCACAAGTTATCATTGAAATACCTTCCTTCTCTCCTTCTGGTTGTTTTATTGTTGACGGTCCTTCCATACTTTATTCATGTTGTGATAAAAGGCTTGAAAACTCTTGGTAATTCATTGAAAAGACACCTTGATCCTGTTATGCATTGAGGTAACACATGGACATCGATTTCCAGGAGGTACTCATCACGGATTGACATCGGTCAAAGAGCTGCTGAAAACTTGCGAGAACTGATGAATACCACCATAAAAATCAATCAAATCACCACAAACGTCCAAACGGAAATACGGTCCAACCATGATTTGTGACAAGATTCGAGATGTGATTTCTTGAGATTACAGTTTGAAGTCATGATGTGTGGGACAAACTAAGTCGGACGTGAGGATATATACTCAATGATAACATTGGATGATGGTCACGCTGTTTTACGAATTACCAGAACTAGGAAAATTTGGACCATTGAATTCACACCCAGCGTCTCACTGGTAATGTGCTCACTAGGAGACTTGAAGGTCATGGGTTATGGGTGCTCACTGTTGGTGAGCCCCATATTAGGACGAAGTAGCCGTCCAGTGCTCCTAGGTTTCCAATAGTTCTCAAAGTGACCTCCGTCCGTGATGAACACCATCCCAAAATCAATCGAACTTTCAAAGCATAGACATTGAATTTCACTTGTGTATAGTAACTTTTCTCATTAGGGTTTTCTTAATACACACAACGTCTTTTGTTTTGATTCTCTGTAAATTGCATTTAGTTCCTTTTACCGGATGTTATATCTAATGCTGTTAAAGCTACAAAAATGACTGGAGGTGGTCGCTTCTTAACTGAATTCGGTTTATGTGGAGATGATGGAAATCCGAAGAGTGTGAATACAATTGAATGCAATGCTGTGCTGGATGAAGCTGATAAGAATTTCGAATCATGGACCTACTGGGATGGGAATTTTATAGATGATAACGGAAATCCAATTAAAAGTCAGGTAACCTAATTCTGTATTATATTAGATGTCTTTGAGCCAGCAGAGATTTGTCTGAAGCTAACTTGGAAACAGTATTTTGTATAGAGTTGTTACACATGGGATTTACTTGGTGAAACAGGAATCCGTAGCTTACAATGGCATAAAAGTATGTTTTTTACTTCTTTGCACTGAGGATAACAGATTTCCTGATTACTTTTTCCCAGTTTTACCGATAGATTCTGACTAGCATTTATAGGCGACTGTTGTCGTATGAAGGCTAGTTATCACAAATAGGCGGGTGAATACCACTGAAATAGTCAAGTTTGTATTTAATAAAATAATCCGAAGGAAATGAAGCTTTGGTTTATTGACCGAGTTGTAACAACTGCCTTTATGTTTGATAAGATGGGTGACTGATGCTTACAACATTCTGAAACAAGTGATACGAAGAAAAATGCTTACTGCACTCAGTATGACTGCGTTGAGACATTTACAAATTGAATCAAATGTAATTTGCACGAAATGAGAAATGGTAGACAGATGGAATAAGATTTGTTATCTCCATGAGAAGTTTGTGTGTTTAAAAATGAATCTGTTTGTTATAAATATATTTGTAATGAACGTTTATGCAACACCATAGACATTTCGAGCAAAACTACTGACAATGATCCTACTAGCTATCGGAATTTCTTGCAGGAATATTAATAGATATGGTGAATATGGTGATTTCATTTTGTATTCATCATCATTTTCCAGCACTCGTTTCTCATGGAATTTTAACTTTTGTCTTCTTAATTAATGTCTTATTTAAAATTACAAATATCTATGATAAATATGAGGAGATTTGTCCAATTCCATCGAAAGAATTGTATAGGATCAGTACATTAATTCATGAAATAAATGTCATGCATCACACGCAACCAACTAAGGACTTGCTTTTAACTAACTAGTCAAAAGGATACATAACGTGAGAAAACTTCAGTGACACCAGCTCTGAAAAACATAAATCATAAATCGATCTCTGGCGAGGTCATGGGTGGGCACTATTCAGTACCATACTAGGACAAAACAGCCATCCTGTGCCTCCAAGTTTCCAGTGTTTCTCCAACTGATGTCAGTCCATGATGAATACCAACTTGAAATAAATCAATCAGCCTGGAAGACTTTGAAGCAATTGATCCCATCGGTCAATTTAAAGGTGTAATCAGAGGACGAAAATTATCTGAAACATGTGGTGTATTAGCGCCAAACACGATGATATGGTCATTGAATATAAAAAGCCTGACAATGCGATATGTCCACTAGAGAAGATGAACACAGCTGCAAATCATATTAGCCTTCCTTGCGAAGAAGAGATGAACAACCAGCTATTATTCTTAGACTCAGTGCTTAATCGATAGTTGGATGGCTCGATCAGGAAGTCGATCGATAGGAAGCCTACATGGACAAGGCAATATATTAGTTTCTATAGCTATTTCCTATTCCAATATAAACGCGGTTTAGTTAGCTGCCTCTTCAGCAGGATAAATCGCATCTGCACTGATGACAGGAAGAAGGAAGAAAACCAACTTATTGACGACAACACTGATACAGAATAGCTATCCACTGAAATTTATCGATAGGTGCAAAGTATATGTTGCATTGAAAAGTATGCAGTGTTTTGTTGCTAAGATAAATGTCTACATCTCATTACCATCTAGAGGTGATTCACATAGCTTTATTGTGAGGAAACAGCTTAGATCAGCCATATGTAAAACAAATTATGTAGCCAAGATCATCATTGTAGAGAAGACAGAGTTCATGTTGCAACACAAACCAAAACAACATGTAAGCGATTACACGACATCCCACTGTGTTTATCAATTTACATGTATGCGTGGACACACATACACACATAGGGAGGAGTAATCATGATATGCAGCTAAGGATGGTTCGACGTGTACCTAACTGGCTTCAGAAACAAATGACCTCAACAGACCTGATAAGTGTAGGTGACAAATGCTAATCTTCATCTATTGTTAAACACACGCTAGAAACTAGTCACAAGGTAGACATGGGAACACCCTCTAAAGTAGTGCATGAAAGTGGTTAGGGTCGAGGGCTTAAATTTATTGAAGCTCTTGCCATCCATAAATTCAAACAATTTGTACTCACGTTGAACCTATCTTGACAGAACTGATTTCAATTTCATAAAAGGAGTGGTGTGATTTAGATTTTAGGTTGGTAATCGTCATGGACTGACATCAACAGAACAATCATTGGGACTCTGGAAGCACTGTGAGGCTGTCTCATCCTAGTATGAGACTCCTCAGCAGTGCGCACACAGGATGCAGCCGGGGTTCGGGCCCAGGACCTTCAGGTCCCCCCATTAAACCTCCAAACTGATTTGGATTTTTTCTCTGTGCTTCCTATTCACACGTTTCCCATTGACTTAAATGACCCTTTTCGTAAATTTTATGATAAATAGTACAACAAGTTCATGGGTGATCAGACTGTTCAGAACCTGGAAGACGAGTTGAGTTTCATGTGAATAACTTTCTTACTGGCAGGATGTTTACACGCCATCAGAATTGACCTGTGTAGCTACATTCACTGATTGTTGACAACATCTGACAAGTTGTATTGAAAATCTTATCGAAAATTTGTTCGAGCAACTCATAGGCGCATCAGTGTCATTTCCCATTGTATGGTCTACTCATCATATTTCACCTAATAAGCAAAGTATCTGACACGATGTAGCTGTATACAATACTGCTTATAATCGGATGGTAAATTCATGCAATTAATGAAATGAATATATATATTCTGCATCTAAAAGTGCATAAATATCTCCTCTGACATGATGAATTCAGTTAGAAGTTTTGTCGAAAATTTACGGGATGTATGCAATATCTCGATATATATAAAATGAGTGGACATTCATCATTGTCGCTACATTAACAGTTTCTTGAAGTTATATCAGGGTTATTACTGAAAAAATGATTGTAGCGTAGATTAGTTTTTAAAATTACAAAACACAGGACTAGTGGAATCGACTTACAGTTAGGTTAGTACTTGCACACTCCAGGTTTTGTTAGTATCAATTGACGTTAAAATGTATGAGGGTCGGTTGATATTAAATTTCTACTGACCTTTGGTTTATTAAATGAAACCGTTAGCGTAATACGAAAGGTGAAATAGAGTATAAAAGTGATTAGATGCTTTATGCCCAATTAATTGTGAATGAAGTAAATAGTATCGGTGATATATATATATATATATATATATATATATATATATATATATATATATATATATATATATATATATATATAAGTGATTCTGAAAATAGACAGTGTTGATTTATGGTAAAGACTACAATGAAGCTAGTAATCAAGTCTCCCGCTCAGCAAAGAGTTTCAAGAAAGTGTATAGATCTGGTGTGTCTTTTGACTATTGTCAAAACACCACTGATTCGAACTGGAGAAAGCAGTCGGAAGAACGTATGGGACAATTTTTCACAGCCATGCACAAACCAGTCTTAATGCACATTCACACATTTATTGAATATCAGTTCAATTTGCATATCGAGGCATCTATACAAACACGAGAATGTATTCAGTAGATAGTAGACGGAAAAGGCATATGGCACTTGAAACCGCTACTGACACATACTAGCTGAAAGGTCGTATGAATGATAGTTAAGATATTTCATTCTTATCTGTTATTTCTTCATAGCTTTCCGTTCTAACAAAATCACGCATAGCAAGCTTATGTGAATGCTATTTATACGTTGTTATATTACTGGCTTAACGTTGTCTCCAGTTTGATATTATTCTCTCTGGCTACAGTTGGCCTAAGCATATTATTATAATATGCCCCTTGGGTTCCCAGTGAAACATAGGGCTTCAGTAGCACATCGCCATTTCACTCTCTTCTCCATAGTCTTTTGAACCTGGCTCCACGACTGCCCACAAACTTTCATTTCTTACTCACACCATCTCCTCCATGTCACCCTCGCCTCGGACACCCAACTCGTCGTTTCCCCTTCGGATTCCACTCGAGGGACTGGCCTGGCGCGTCATGTCCATAAATAGTCTTCTCAGTGTATGCCCAATCCAATCCATCTCCACTTCCTTCTGCATATTTTTGCTGGGCGATAGGTTCTTGGTAGTTTTGTTGCTCGGCCAGAGTTCCACTTTGCTTATTCTTACTATTCTGACCATCTGATATTCAGTATCAAGCATAGACAGCTGTTGATGAATGACTGTCGTTTGTTGGAAATGCTTTTCGTGATGCAACAAGTCTCTCAATCACCACATAGAAGCACTAACTTGATTGAATTAGTGTTGAAAATCCGGATGTTGCTCACGCTTTATGCTGAGTGCAGTGCAGTGCATTAGATCTAAACACTCATTTCAGATTAATGAAGGCATGCCTTGCTGTCTTTTTGATCCTGGTTTTGACGTCCTCATCTATGCCACTTGTAGTTGAAACTATGCCGGTGTGAGCATGTCCGCTGGTGATGTATCTGCATCTGTTTTCAGTGCTTTTCACGGAATTCCATCTGGTCCTGCTGCTTTCCTGGATTTCAGCAACTTTATGGCGTTCAGGATTTCACTTCTGCTTATGTCAGAGGGCATGTGTTCACTGGTAATTCTGTGGCTGGGCTGCTGGTGGTATTTCTGGACGAAGTGCAGGTGGTGGTCGATTCGAGAGCTTTCTGAAGTGGTCAGCCCATTGTTTCCTTTGTGTATCCTCTCTGGTGGTAATTAGGTTTCCTTTACTATCTTTCATTGGTTTCATCTGTGTTGATCTCTCCCCTTCTAGATAGTAACCTGGTCATTCGATACAGTGATACAGTCAGGTCCCCGTCTCTCCTACCTGCAGCCTGTTCCGCTTCACTTGCCAGTGTGTCGTAGAAGTGCCTTTTTTCTTTGCGCGCACTCTTCTTCACTTCTTTGTCCAGTGTAGTGTTTTATAGGCTGTGTTCAGTTCCTCTTTTCGTTGCTCATCTCTGCAATGCACTAGTTCACCTTCTGCTTCACCATCTTCCACTTCCTGCTCTATCAGCCTCCATGTATCCGTGGGGACCCATTCCTTGTCTTGCTTCTTCTTCCTTCCTAACACGGTTATGCAAGTTTCTTTCAAAGAGTTCCAGTGTTCTTCCACGCAGGTTCACACAGGGATGCCGCTCAATATCTCTCATTTTTTCCTGAAGGCTGACGACGTGAAGAAGTATTTTGTGGTTTCGTCCTTCAGTTTCTGTTATAGGTTAGTGTTGAACTTGAACTGTGGTCTATCACCAGCTTCCTTGACTTTGAAGGTAGCTTGCCTGCACTAGTCAGTGAGAGGTATGAACCGCCTTCATCTGCTCTTCGTCTTCATGTGATCTTGTGTCCAGTAGGCTGCGTCACCACTTTCTTCACATTGAGATGAAGTCGATCTGATTTTCAGTGTGTCCTGGTGTTTGGTGAAATCCATGTCGCTGCCTTGTAAATATTCTTGTGTTTGTACACACTGCTTCCAATCACCAAATCATTGAATGAGCAGAAGTCTGCAAACAATTCTCCATTCTCGTTCATTTCACCGAGTGCCTCTCGACCCATGGTTAGTTCTCTTCCTGTGTTGTCTGCTCCCAGTTTGGCATTCATATAACCCCATCCATGAGAATGCATTTTGATGTCCGCATCTGAGGTGGGTTGTGGTCTTGTCCAATACTGATTGCAGTTGTCTGTAGAATTCCTCCTTCTTCTCTTCATCTGCATTATTTGTAGATGCGAAGCGTAGCGTAGCATTGTATGTTTGTGACTTTCCTTCCTTTTGAGTTGAATCTTGCTGACATGAACCTGATGCTGGTGGAGATTGGTTCCCACTGCATGGGTGAGAGCCTTCGATGTTATTGGGGAAATCATGATAGCCACTCGAAAATTCAGTGTGCTTGTGGTTGTTGTCTGGATGACAATATATTGGAGTAGATTATTGACTTCTCTCTAGTTGACAGTTGGGAGAGTCGACTTCCATTCAGTCTGTTTTCACAGATTCCTAGCACTTCTATGCCATACCTTCTCATCTCTTTTGCAATCTGGGAAGCCTTGGTAGGTTCATACATGGTGAAGATATTCCATGTCCCCTTCCTTACTTTCGCTTTCATCGAGAGAAGACACATCGGCCAATTGGCTTCCCGTAGGCTTTCACCAATCGGCGTCGTTTTGTCTCCCTGATTCCAGTGAGGAATGAGTCTATTTTTGAAATTTCGTCTGTGCTTAGAAGTTTCTTTGGCGATTGGATTGGTTTTCCGTGGTAGGATTGCTAGCCCTATCCCCAACCTCCCCTTTTTATCTGGGCTTAGGACCGGCTAGTAACTAGTGTACTATTTAACCAGGCGAGGTTATAAACTTCTATACAAGTTAGCAATTAAAGAGGAGCTGATTTCAAAATTTGTAATTATGAGCCATTCATGGCGAAGAAAATAATTCAAGCGAACTAGGCTGATATTGTTGGTAAAATAGTGATTCTCAGCGTTATGTTCAAAATATGTATAAGCATTCTTTTTGAAAAAACTAGAATGTGATCACTTAAAACTGATCTTTGAAAGTAAAATACAACTTAAACAGTTGCTTCGGTAGGTGAGGAAACAGGTTTAATCTTATTTCAAAATAACATCTAACTGCAGTAATATCTAGACAGGATAAACTCTATATCTGTAGTTGCTGGCTGGAATGTTTATGGGCAACTTCAAAGGATACCCTAGCAACAATAGAAACAACGAATTAGGTTGCTTCATTTTGGTTGCGAAGGCGAATTTTCATAAAATAGAGAAGTATGATTGGTTATTTCAGTTGTTGTTAGGGTGGCCTTTAAGGTGAATTGGATGATTCAATCGGACACTCGGACACATGATAGAGTGAAAATGTGAACACTATTCATACTTCTAGTTGTAAACAAATATTATTAAAATCACTGTAACAGTGAAGTGAAGACAGACAGGAAAGTGTATCAAGGTGAGCAGGATTTACTATTCAAGAGAAATCTCCTGGTAAATAGCTGGATAACAAATATCTGTAAAAATAGATGACTAAGTTCAATCAAGGGAACATCAATCTGATAGCACCAACTCGACGACAAAAAGCCAAGTTTTATTTAAATACATTGGCTGTTATCTACCTTTTATACCTTATCCTTATCCTTAGTATTTTATTTCTTGTCAACGCTTTTCTTACAAAGAACAAATCAGTCAAGCAAAATATTCTAAATTAATGTTACTGAAGCTTTAAAATCATCATATTCATAAGCACTAGGAACAAATTACAGTATGTGTTTAGATAATCGGTTGATTTGTCAGCTTGCGTATAGTACTAGACAGAAAAATACAAAAGTAAGCCTATGTAGGGTCACAATCCTAGTCTGTGAGATGGTGGAGTTATAAAGCAAAGTATCGAATTCAGTGAGGTGTAGGTTGTTGATGAGTGTAGACCATGCCTTTCAGGTGTCTACCTGATAAAAAAGGAGGAGGAAAAGGAAGGAACAGAAGCAAAACATAGTAGACGTGATTGTATTGCAACAATCATTCAAGCTGTAATAAGTACAAGTGGAGGAGGGGAGTAAAGAGGAAAACAGGATGAGAGATTTTAAATGTTCCTTATGCAGGGATAGGCTCCAGTTTGACAGATATCGTATGAAACATTGTGCTACTTATTAATAAAACAGTAGTGTGACGAAAATGGAGAACACACGCAAAAGTTGGAAAAGTGTGAATCTTACGGAAATTATTAATGTACTGTAAAATTCAGCCACAGGTTCATATACCTTACTTCTTACATCTTACAAATGCAACCCGTCATCCAATCATATTCTCTTATTCCTATTCGACAGTGGATTGCGATCAACAGTGCTGTTATTTCAACAGTATCACATAACAATCACTGAAAGAATCTGTTCGCACTAAGTATCTTTATAAATTGTTTATTATTAAAAATATAGGATTGTGTGAATTTTATCTGGAAGTATTGTTTTTTGATACTAAGCAATAAATTAAGCGGAATATCTGTACGTGGTGCATTTTGTGACGAATACAAAGATTTTGCAAATACTACAGCTAATTTACTGGTGTGTAGTGAATCTAAGGCGCGTAGAAGTAAACAAGAACACTGGGTTGAAACAAATTCCACCATACAATGAGTCACACCATTCCGCCGTTTCAACCACGTACAGCAGAACACAAGGTCTGATTCTTACTGTCCACATATTTCATGCGATCTCATTTATCTGTATTTTTGGGTAAATTATTTTACTAAAAAGCATCATAGTTTACAAAAATGAAACAGGTTATACAAAGCACAAAACACGTAGTAATGCACAATAATGGGTTTTGAGGGACGTGCAGGTATTTCCGAACTGAGTCATGCACAAATGGATGAGGCGTCAATGAAAGTCTCCTGAACCGAGCCATATAACAATGTTATCAAATAACATAAGTAAAATTACTTTTAGAGTAAATAAAATAACACGACCAATAGCACTAATCTGAGATCCATAGTTTCCTCTTTTTCCATGATATAACATCCGCCACCTATGAATAATAATGATTTTAACACAGTGTTTTTCGCAGCTCAGTAACCATGTAAAGGTTTGTGAAATGCTGTTTGGGTACCAACCATACTTTCTAGTTCCCGAAACCGACATATATGTGGAGCGGTTTGTGAAACTGAAACCTACTAGATGAAATTCAGGTATGTGAACCAAAACTCTGGAAAATCACTCTGGGACAGTGATGAAGGAAACTTTTGAATCATCAACAAATTATTCTTTAATGGATAAAACAAACAGTTTCAGGTGTTAAATTTACATCGCTGACATTCCAACTTGAACGCTGATTGAATCTAACCACCTAGCTCATTACCAATAAATAATACATTAGATATCTGTTTCAGTCAACGATTGTTTCTTGTTATCTTTCTGTTTCACTTTCAGGTTCAATCTTTCATTCGTCCTTATCCGCAATCAACAAAAGGTATATTTCAGACACTTCAATTCAATCATAAAACTGGTGATTTTCATTATTCATTTACCACATTTCAATCCGAATATCACAATGATAGTCAAACTTTAATCGCAGAGATTTATATACCAAAGTCCATTCACTATCCTAATGGATTTACAATGAATATAAAACCAGATGGCATATTTACAAATATGAGTGAGAATATTTTGTTTGTGTTCTTACCGAACACCAAGCGAAATGAATCCTTTGAAATTAGGATTGATATTAGCAAAAGTAGACCATCTTAATCGCTGAGCAAAAAACATTATTGAGTTTGCTTTTTTTCAGTTAGAATTGTTTACAAAACACTAATGTATGGTTTTCAATTGTAATAAATCAAGGCTGCTTTGTCACTTAGATTTATTTCAAGCCGAACTTTCTTTGATGCTTATAACGTTTAGTGACTAGCAGTAGAATCCAGAACGTGTGTTTCATCTCTTTTCAAACTTGCCTTAGTAAATGATGTTGCTCGCACTGCGAAACAAACCCAAGTAGTAAAGTTTCATCCGTTAGGTTACTAAATCACGATAACCACCCTTTGTATGACTGACTATAAGCTATAAAACTAAAAGTTCTGTTGAACTCAAAAATTAACCAATAAAATGGAAACATTTTTATTCACTTCAGATAGGTAGTTTAACTAGGAAGTCATATAACGTCTCCTCGCATATCGTCAGTTTAGTTGAGTTTTGGATTACTGAATCTAATAGGAAGACTTGTTAACCTCTAGTTTTCATCGTAGATCAATTGTAGTCTTGCTACAGTGAGGTGACTGTGAATTCATAAAAGCTGCTAACAACGGTTTATTTTTTAGTTCGAGCTATCACTGTTTATATGAATGAACGTTGAGAAAATCTTCGCTTTTTAACTATTAGTCATCTTCAGTATGACATTTTGCAATTGTATTACTTCACTGAAAGATGCTTCTTTGTCTGGATCTGGAGAAATATTCTCGTGATTTGAAAAAATGAGAAATATAAGGTTAAACTTTTGGTTTAATAACACTCTCTCCATAAGTAATTTTATTATTTACCATCCAGGATTTATCATGTTTCGAAATGATGACCAGTTTGCATATAGATGAAGGATCGGTTACTGATGCTATTCATAAAAGTTGAGCATTTCTGTCGAGTCGTCAGACCTACACACAAAATATTTTTTTAAAGCAAAGGAATAATCACGGTTGAAAGGTCAAAGAATCCCTTAAGTCGTTAGAATTGTAGGTGAATTCATTGTCACTTTCCAGCCGCTTACTCATCAAAACATAATTTGTCTGAAATTCCTTGTCAGTGGGTTAGCTTACATGGACAATGATTAAGTGCCACCTGTTAATTTCTTACAACAGAGATTTCTCAAAGACCATGCAATGAAATTAGCAGTTGCTGATGAAGATAAGCAGTTGAGTCGAATATAATGGCTGCTTTCAGCACAATCAGGAACTGTTTCAACACAATTCAAGTTATAGACAGTAGTGACTGTTTGACTAACAAGATCAAAGTGCGACCTCACACACAGGTGAATCGGACCAAGTTGCCACACTTCACAGTAGAATACAATGAACAGGTGGATGGAAAAAGTGATATCAGAGTAGATAAACTTGCATGATACAGTAAATAAGTTGAAGATAAAGGTTAGTGAGAATATTCAAGCTTTAGAAGATACCGAGAAGTGAATACATTTTCACCACTGCGACCGATTTTTGGCCGTCATCTAGGGTCCTCAACTACTGATTCCTTTCGTCTTGGGGACTCCAACCAGGCAGTCTACATCTCCCCTCATGACTCACACAGACAGTCAGGAACTTCATAGACTGGTGTCACGTCTTGGTCTGGCCACACGTGACCCTCTTCCAACCGATCCAACTCCCCCTAGCATTTCACGTTGACGCATATGATGGTTCAGCATACGAAGTACATGTCCAAACCCTTTCAGTCAACCTCACGAATAGATTCACCCATTACCCCTCGACTGACCTCAAGATTGCTCACGCGGCAATTCCATCAAACGCGAGCGATGCTACGAAGACATCTGTGATCAAGACCCTGTAATCGCTTCATGTCTTCTACTTTTAACGGCCATGTTTCACAGCCGTATAACAGGACAGAACGGACTTCAGAACAGTAAGCTCATCGTTTGATAGATAGTTGGATATCTCGTGAGTCGGCACAATAGGTGACGCAAGTTGGCAAAGGCCAAACGGGGCTTCTTTATCCAAGCTGAGATTTTGTCAGCAACCAGACTGTTCGGCTGATCACAAATACCTCTTCTTCTACTTGAAACGTAGTGCTGAGCACTTAATGGATTTTCGTCTGTGAGGTGAAGTTACCATTCTACTAATCGTGGAAGTTGCCCTCTGGTTTCAAGTGACAATCACCTCCGTGTATGTGCGCTAGTCACTTATTTAAAATTGTGCCTTCTCGACTATTAAGTGTTTTTTTAAAAATAAAAGATGGCTTACTTATGAGGAGTAGATCGGCTTATTTTAGGCAGTTCGATGCACGAAAAGAACTAAATATTCATGTTTCTTAGGATCAAGACTGTTTTGAATCACTTTGAGTATTTTATCCAGAAACCACCTGTGAAAGGGGAGTGTTTCTGAGGTATTTATTAATACACTGACTGAACTGTGGAAAATTTATTGCATTGAAAATTGTGATAAATAATTGTTATCAGAAAACGATGAAGGCATTTATGCACATTCTGATACTAAAAAGAATTACTTAACGTATTAAAAAGTTAGGCGAAAATTTATAAGTCTGTAAGTATGCTTGCACGACTGAGCAAAACGTTCAGGAAATATAAACTCGGATCAGAAGTAGAGTTTTGAATGTGTGAAGTGCGACCGAATTTTCTGAGTTCGCGGTAAGACTGGAAAATATAAATCATTGCCGAAACTGTTGTTTGTGAGTGACGAAATGGTTTCTATTTTAGGTTGTTTATTCCGGCACTCATGGGAAACAATGAAAAAACAAACCAGTTATTTTGCGTCAATAGACATTCAAGCAGACGTTCTTCACCTTCGATTTTTTATACATGAAGATGGAAACTTTTGCATCATACGCCAGAGTGATATCCACTTGGGTATAGTCATAGTAGCTACTCCATTTGCGATTACTCCAAATTAGGAAGAAATGCTTATACTGGAATCCGCTTATAGCCAGTATCCGTCATTAATACCAACTGATGGATGCATTTCCACCTAGTAAACGTCGATCTCGCTGTTAGAGACTATCCTTCATCTTGTGATATCATAGCAGCATAGTTGAGTAAGATGAAGTGGTGGGGACAGTCCTTATTCAATTGCAATCTTAGCATACTCGTGTATTTGGTATCATTATTTATTTGCTTAAATACGTATTCTACTCGTTCGCTGCAGACACATCTACGTCATGACATCGAGACCACATTTTTCAAACTGTGATAACTTCTTCACATTTAGCTAATATGTTGTTAACTGGCCTACAGACTAACACAGGTTAATAACTAGGAGGAATAAGAGTTAACATTTAACTTCGAAATGTTTAAGCTGTTATTGAAATATGGGGCAGTTGGAGGGACAATTGCCGGGAGGTACTACAGCCAAAGTTCTGAAGAGTTAGTTGTAGAAATTAAGCAGTTCTTCGAAGACCTAAATAAAAATGATAACACTACCAGGTAACAGGTAGATTATTCAATAAACAAACATTAAATTATGAGTATCCGTTGAAATCAACAGCATATAATGGTAAGGATAAACTAGATGGAAATGCTGAGATAATGAGGATTTGTAACTAAGTTAGTGAAAGTTAACTAGATACTTTTAATCCACCGAGTTAAGCTTTATTACTTCACAAACCCAGATAAACTATGTCGAAGTAAATTACACCATTCATTTAGCCCATATTCCCCTTTACAGGCTTGAAAATAACATGTTCAACAGTTAGAGCAGGAAAGCGTTACACCATTTTATTTCTTGCCTTTCTCTTAGGTTGTCTACAACCTAGAATATCAGTACATGCATACTGACTTCTGTTTATCTGATATTCTAGATTGTGAACTGCTGAAGGAGAATCGATGAAATAAAATGATGTTCAGATATTGGGATCAAAATGTTATTTTCGCTACTTTCAAATACTGCACCTAAATAAATTTCACATGTCAAGCCGTCTAAAGTGAAATAAAGAATATTGAGATGTTGATGCTTCCTGAGGTTTCAACCCAGTGTTCTTGTTTACTTCTACGCGCCTTAGATTCACTACACACCAGTAAATTAGCTGTAGTATTTGCAAAATCTTTGTATTCGTCACAAAATGCACCACGTACAGATATTCCGCTTAATTTATTGCTTAGTATCAAAAAACAATACTTCCAGATAAAATTCACACAATCCTATATTTTTAATAATAAACAATTTATAAAGATACTTAGTGCGAACAGATTCTTTCAGTGATTGTTATGTGATACTGTTGAAATAACAGCACTGTTGATCGCAATCCACTGTCGAATAGGAATAAGAGAATATGATTGGATGACGGGTTGCATTTGTAAGATGTAAGAAGTAAGGTATATGAACCTGTGGCTGAATTTTACAGTACATTAATAATTTCCGTAAGATTCACACTTTTCCAACTTTTGCGTGTGTTCTCCATTTTCGTCACACTACTGTTTTATTAATAAGTAGCACAATGTTTCATACGATATCTGTCAAACTGGAGCCTATCCCTGCATAAGGAACATTTAAAATCTCTCATCCTGTTTTCCTCTTTACTCCCCTCCTCCACTTGTACTTATTACAGCTTGAATGATTGTTGCAATACAATCACGTCTACTATGTTTTGCTTCTGTTCCTTCCTTTTCCTCCTCCTTTTTTATCAGGTAGACACCTGAAAGGCATGGTCTACACTCATCAACAACCTACACCTCACTGAATTCGATACTTTGCTTTATAACTCCACCATCTCACAGACTAGGATTGTGACCCTACATAGGCTTACTTTTGTATTTTTCTGTCTAGTACTATACGCAAGCTGACAAATCAACCGATTATCTAAACACATACTGTAATTTGTTCCTAGTGCTTATGAATATGATGATTTTAAAGCTTCAGTAACATTAATTTAGAATATTTTGCTTGACTGATTTGTTCTTTGTAAGAAAAGCGTTGACAAGAAATAAAATACTAAGGATAAGGATAAGGTATAAAAGGTAGATAACAGCCAATGTATTTAAATAAAACTTGGCTTTTTGTCGTCGAGTTGGTGCTATCAGATTGATGTTCCCTTGATTGAACTTAGTCATCTATTTTTACAGATATTTGTTATCCAGCTATTTACCAGGAGATTTCTCTTGAATAGTAAATCCTGCTCACCTTGATACACTTTCCTGTCTGTCTTCACTTCACTGTTACAGTGATTTTAATAATATTTGTTTACAACTAGAAGTATGAATAGTGTTCACATTTTCACTCTATCATGTGTCCGAGTGTCCGATTGAATCATCCAATTCACCTTAAAGGCCACCCTAACAACAACTGAAATAACCAATCATACTTCTCTATTTTATGA